GCGCAGCTGGGCTTTGGCTGAACTGAGAAAGAAACGGATCAGCTGAAGTGAATGCATTTTTTTTGTGTTTAAAAAAAAAAACGCTTACAGTTCCAAACTAAAACAAACTATAATTATAGCTTTGATTTTCAAAAGCGACTTTCAATTTATTTCACGATGAGTCGAAAGAAGGATTTTCAAGCAGTCGTCTGGGACTTGTAGTCCTGTGAATGTGTGTCGCACGAAGTGACGTCATCCAGCAGCAGCCAGTAAAAAAGCGCCACCAGATATCATCGCGCTCCTCGGCGCCGTTTGGGAATATCTGATCGAATTGAAAAGAAAAATTCTGAATTCTTGATATACCATGCAATATATTGTGGCCAAATTATCTAATAATGATCCATGAACGGTACCATAATTGTGAATGCTGCATATTAGAGTATTTTTTTTTCAGCAAAATTAGCAGGTGGGCGTGTCCAAGCCAAGTTAGTCAACCATATTATCCCGTCTGAAAGAATAACTAGCCAGTGCTGCTGGTGAAAGTCAAAAGGTGTGATGCCTCTATCAGAGATAAACTTGACTGGCATTCGGGACTAAGCTACTCATATTGCGGCCCGGTCACAAGACGGGAAACGCAGCCGATTTAACTCTTAATCAGGTTTATCCCTCTTGAGTGGAATACCGGGGACCCAAACGCGCCGCAATTCAGAATGATGGATTTGGCGCATTCAATTCCACATGTCCCCGTAGATCCCAAACGGATGGCGAGGGAGTCGCGAGCAGCGAATCCAGCTCGGTAGCAAGAGGCGGGGATGTTACCTTCAGCAAGAACCACCAAACCTCCATCGAGGACCTTTCAGGTTGGTGAGCGCTCTCCGCGGCAGCAGTTTTGTTTTGGAATCAAGATGTGCTGTGCTTGCGATCCAAAGGTGAAGACCCAGAGACGAGGCGCTTGCGGACTGTGAAAAACATTGCGGACCTGCGCCAGAACCTGGAGGAAACCATGTCCAGCCTGCGAGGAACTCAGGTCACACACAGGTACGCAACTGCTCTCTTTTAACAAGGCAACAAATCCAAGATTTCATGAAAAGGCTTTTATTAATTTACCGGTATGTTTCTTTTCGAGGTTATTTTTGTTTGAATTCATCGTAGGTTTTTGTGTTAAGTGAAAAATTGTGTTTTACAGTCACAAAAATCAAAAATCATGACTGGGTTGCCTTTTCGGGACATGTTAGGCCAAAGCGTATGTCTGATGAAACAAGTGCACTCCTTTTAGCCAAAAGCG